TTCTTCCCCAGTCCGGGCGGAGTCACTTGATTCCTCTCCTCCGCTACTCTGAATCTATGATGGCGTGTGCCGTTGTATCCTTTTTATTACCCTACGTACCATACGAGTACTCCCAACGGTAAACCATTTTTACTCCAAGAAGTCTGAGCTTTTAATTCTCCACTGAAAGCACCGTTCCAACTTCCAAGATTATTCGAGAAGGTGTTGTGCACGGAGGATGACATGACGGCAATGACAAGCATGAAAAAATATAGCAAAATCTCTCCATAAGAATATTATTAAGCGCTTTTTTAAGGCTAATGTTCGGCATTCTTGGATGGATGTATTCGACTAATTCCGATCTAACAGTAATTTACTTCCCATGAGCCCATCAATCCCGAACAGATTATATCTCTGCAATGGATTTCTAAGAATTCCAAGAATCCCTAAAGAATCATCATACAATACCAAAATCCTATTAATTTCATTGATCAAATAAGGTTATACATGATTCTAAAACTCAAAATCCTAAGTATGTTCCGGTGGACAGGTTTTAGGGATATAGGCCCTTTTTGATATAGAGATCGACAGGGGTATCGTTATAAAGAGGACATCCTCATAGGATCCATATAGAGAGATGTTGCTGTAATAGGATTTTGATTTGAAGAGATATAATCGCGAGCCGCGACCTACAAGATCGGTGTAGACATTACTCGGCTAGCTACTCAATCTTATGGCATTTTTGAAGGACCTAGCAGTAGAATGATAGAATAATCTCTCAGTAGATTGGTATTATCTGGTTATGCTGACCATCCCTCCATGGTGATTTAGGATGTATCGTTCCAAGAATCAAGCATTTACTACTCGAGTAAGTTCTTCGAGCATGGTTAAGTTATCATGACGAGTCACCACAACGTTCGATAGAAGTGGTTAGTGTGAGTAGAATACCGCTCCTACGGAATAGCTGCGGGACATATAACAAATGTGTGAGTTACACACGATAGGTAATCCCTATTGGGCTGCAGATCTGCAGTTGGTGGGTGCTTGCCACAGCATCGTGGGGCCGCCGCCAAGTACTCCGCTGCTTGGACAAAATCCCACCATTACCGACCCGATTACTTCTTATGGAAACTCCGACATTTAACGTCAGCCATCTGATATATGGCAACAGAGAGTTCTACTATAGCGGGGCTAACTTCGGAAGAGCTAACTACACCCTGGACGATAAAAAATCGTATACTACGACGTCAATACTGGCTCTTCGATATCATATTTCAAATAGATCATTTCACATTGATCAATCCTTATTTTGAGCTGGAACCGGAATGTACCCCATCAAGCTTACATATCGATGACTACCAGATAGGTAGCCAATTTCATAATTTATCTAACTCGCTCTCTGTGCTTCTGTACGTTCTGTGTTATTAGCCACTAATAAATCAGGTGTACATCACCGTGCGGTGTGAGCCTAAAGAATAAACTAATGATGATCAGATCTCCTGTATGAACATCTTTTGATAGATATCTAATTTTATCTACTAAATATAAAGTCAATTGCCCCAATCCACTTCCACCTATCCATCCATCCTTTTTCCATCCTTTTCATTTCTTTTCCGTAATAAAGTCCATGTAGGCGTTGATCACTGATCATTATAAACCTCCAAGAGTGAACACGAAAGCCCCAAAATACTAGACGCTGAAAATACTTTTATCCAAGTATCCCACCCATATTTTATTATTGTAGCCTTTATGATATCATGCCAATTATACAACGAGACCCATCCCATCGCTTTCTTCTTTTTCTGTGGTGCCAGCTAAGGCACCATATACTCTAATGGGAACAGCAACTTCAAAACTTTCACACTCGAGCCCTTGGACTGCTGCATAGACAACCCCTCGTTCATCATTCGTATATTCTTCCAACAATTCAGGGGATAAATCAATAACCTCGTTATCCACGGTGGTCAGTCTAGGGGTAACGAACTCAATGCGAATACGCCAATCGAGTGATACCCCACTAGTGATGAATTCAGGGGTTGCGGTGACGGGGATTGTAGGAGAAAAGACTATGCGGCGAGCAAAAAGAGTAGATTCAGAGTGCGAAACGTGAACGCGACGAGTAACACGAAATATGCTTGCTTCAGAACGTAGCGCGATAGAGTTGTCGACCTTTTCGGATGTCTCTAAAGCGCAGTGTATTGCATAGCAGGGAATTCCAGCATCAGTAAATTCGATAGCTACGGTGATGGTTTCGCCTAGGCGATATGCCGGCCTAGCTAGCATGACCACCGCAACTCTCTTCCCACCACGAGCAATTTCAAATCTATTTGCACTTTGTTGAGATTCTGTGGCAATGTTGCTGCGAAGGATAGCCATATCAATTGCTTCTTTTGCAGTTGCAGGTTCCTCGATGAGAGATTGGCGTCTAGATCCTATAGTTTCTGTGGGCGATAACAAACCAAAGCTAGAATTTCTTCGTGGCTTCGTTATTAATTCATCAACGTATGCAAGGAACTCGCCCAGATTTGAGTTAGGTTTTTGCGTTTTGTGCGTACTGACTGAAAGCTTTCTAAGTGAAGAACTCAAGCTTTCATCGGACTGCGTGTTAATAGTTTGAATTCGAGCTTGATCTCGAAGTAGTATATATGGTAACATAAGATCATGTCCAAGAAGCTCTCCATGAGAATTAACGCTGCCTAGAAGTCGAAATGGTATCTCAACTGACTTGACTTGTTGCTCCTTGGCACCTCCCGGTCTTTGGGTGCCGATGACTAATTTGTAGGATATCTTTATAGCCTTCCCTCGATGGCTGGGAGGCAGTCCTCTAGGTAGTTTGAAAGAGTATTTGTAGCTGCGACTTTCCCCAGGAGCCAATTTCAAATCCACAAACAAAATCGATTGAGGAGTTGATAGTAAAGGTATGGAACGAGAATTTACCATGCCCCGCATATCTTTCATGCTACTTAGCTCGCCGCCCCCTAAAAGACCACCTATTGATTCGCCTATGCTTCCCCAACCAAATGTTCGCAAAAGACTACTGTCCCTTTTATTCGTTTCGACTCCAATTACACCACCACCCTGCCCCCCGACTGCACCTTTTCGCTTCACTTCTTCGAATGGCGCTTGACTAATTAAGGATGGATCCAGCATAAAAGACCCATGGATTTGAGCATAGCCCATCATGAGCGTCTCTGGTACCCTGTGACTGCTACTGGGAGCTAAATTTGAAGACCGTTTTATATGGTGCCCACTGTAAGGTGGCATCCGATTTGATGGTTGTGGTAAATATTCTGAAGCGAGGGTGTCCGTCGAATTGTTGCTTAAAGTATAGAATTCCCCGCTACTTCGTGGTGTGCCACCCATGCTTGATGGTGAGAGTATTCTTGCAATAGGTGCAGGTGTTATTTGGTCGGGAATACTTAGGACAGTATCTCTAGATCTGGGCGAGAGCAGCCGACTATCATGAGATTTGTGACTTGCGCTATCATCTTCAACGCGTGAATTACGTCGACTTTCTATCGAAGGTGAGGTGGTTGCTGGAAATTTAAAGGCTGGAGCAAGTGGGGTGGAGTCTTTCCTTCTTGCTAGATGTGACCCAAGCCCTGATGTTGTTGGCAGATTGCTTGTACCTGTATTTCGCCGCGGAGAATTCGGTACAGATGAATTCGGTGGGAAAGAGGAGCCCATTAAGGGCGAAGGGTGAGGCGGTATACGAGAATTAAGTGGTGCTAGAGGATATTAATGACCATTTATTGTCTTGCGACTCGGGAACGTTTACCTGTCATGGGTCCTCCATTAACTCCATTCCTTCGCGGAACGATTTGCAAGCTTGCAGAACGACCATGTCCTCTACCACCTCTACCAGGCATTTCAGTGAAGCTTCCGTGGCTGGCGACTTCATCAATGGCACTTTCGCTAGCTCCCATTGATATAATAGACACGGACCGCTTATGACCTTCCCCTCCTCTTCCGGGCCTCGATGTTCCATGACTCCATTGTTCTGATTGTTTTGAATGTACTGATTCGGGTGGTATTGTCATAGAAAGAGATGATCGATGACCACCTCTGCTTGGAACTCCAGACCGCGGGCTCAGGGCTGAATTTTTGATCTGTGACGGAGGTCTCCTGTGTCTTTCGGGTGACTGTAGCGACCCATTGGGTCCGGGTGGATGTAATGATGATTTTGATGACGCCGGGGATGTTGCGACATTTTTGAAAGTGATTTGACACTCTATATCTTCGCCCGCGAATACAGTTTGTTCTTTCCACTGTATGAAAACGCGAATATTACTTTGAAGGGTTGACATTTCGCTGTATGGGCAATTGACGCTCCTCCTCTTCGAAGGAGATCTAATCTACCAGTCATGAATGCAATCGCAATACCTTCGATTCCAATGAATCTACCCGCATAGTGAAACAATGAAAAAGCTTTCAATTGAGGACCCTATTCTGACTAGCATCTATGAAGCTTTTTGAAGATTGATAAAGTATGAATTATTATTACTAGGTATTTAAGCTTCTGACCACCGAGAAGCATTAGGTGTTAGGTCAGACTATCGGTTACTGTAGTCTATTCTATGTGAAGGCTAGATCAGAAGGAAGCGGAGGGAAAGCGCGGCGGGATTGCGATTGGCGATTGGCGACTGGCGATTGGCGATTGTGTAAGGGTAGCTGAGCCAACCAGAATAAACCTCAGCGTGGTGTAAACAATACCATTATCTACGATACTCTACCTACCTACTCTTCCATCTCGTAACGATAACGCTGCATTACGTTCGATAATCTCTTTGTTGTTCGGCGCAACTACAACACCTCTCGTAATTACAATATCCAACCTTCTCCACTCCAACCGCAAAACAGTGAGTGTTTAAGATTGTAAAAGCTGTGTAACTACCCCTTCCATCCCTACTTTGTTATTAATTACCCAGCTAACTTGTGGAATGTAGAAAACGCTCCTCATTTTAAAGCAAGATGACTTCCTTCATCACCACCGTGTTAGTGATCCTTATTTCTTCATAATGATGGCTTCTTTTCTCGCATATTGGAGTCCCCGAACGAAGCAATCACCACCGATAAATGGACTCACAGGATCTGATTCTGCAGCAACAGTTTCAGTGAAACTGGAATCTGTAGAGGAAGTGGATGACCCATTCTTTACAGAATCACCTGAACCTGCGCATGTGCCATCTTACTCACAAGGAGGAAACAATAGGAATCAACGTACACGAAACCAATTTCGACCACGAAATGCGCATAAAGGCACAACGAGCTACCAACTGCGACAATATGCTGAAGCAACACTTGGCGGTGGTAGTTTGAGGAAGGTGGTCAAATTGCCAGAAGGTGAAGACGAGAATGAGTGGCTTGCAGTCAATAGTAGGAAATCATATGACACACAAGTTGAAATGAGCTTACGATACAATAGTGGTGGACTTTTACAACCATATAAATTTACTTTACGGTTCAATTACAGAGTTTTGCTCTCCACAATCGTGTCCTGAAATGAAGGCTACGGATGAGTATGAAATTCACTTGTGAACTTTGTAAATCAATGCTAATATGCCACAGGTTCGAATATCTTTGGCAAGACAACGAGAATTTCAAACGACCAACCAAAATGCCTGCGCCAACTTATATTGAACATTTGATGGCCTGGGTTCAAGCCAGTATTGACAATGAAACTGTTTTCCCAAGCAGAATTGGTATGCACTTTAACACTATCTATCAGCTTCATACTATGAGTTTCTAACCTCAAATAGGTGTCCCTTTTCCAAAAGGCTTTTCAACCATGATCAAACAAGTCTTCAAGAGAATGTACCGAGTCTATGCCCATATCTACTGTCATCATTACCCTGTCATTCGTGAGCTTGGGTTAGAGGCCCATCTTAATACAAGCTTCAAACATTATGTTCTCTTCATTGATGAACACGATCTTGCAAGCGGCAAAGACTTTTGGGGTCCTCTGGGTGATCTGGTCGACAGTATGCTTAGGACTGATTAGAAGATTGATTGATGACGAGATCATGATGCATGTATTCATTCTATTGGCGTTTAAGGGCATACCCAGGTAATTCTGGAGTCACAGGACGGGGAAGGACTTCTAGGCCGGTTGGTTGGCGGATTGGACCGAAAAGGTATGGGGAATGGGGATGAAATTATCATCATAGTGTACTTATAGGTTACCAGCGAGCAATCGTCAAATATTGACTTTCAATGATTTCTGTCAATCAGGAGTTTTATTTGTATGAAGAAATGCGTTCTTTGCTTGTTGTGTTTGAATTTTATCTATAGAGTGAACGTAGGACGCGAATCGCTTTCATCGGAGTATTTCGGGAAGGAACTGGGGGCTCTTGCACTTTCTTCTCACTAATCTTTAAATATAAATCAACAAACTAAGATTCAAGCATCTCTGGAGGGTGATATTTCACACGTACTAGTCCAACAATTAAAATATCCATCCTAAGCACACTCATCCCACCTAATAAGAGTTTCCACCCAAGCTTCGGGCAAAATCGCTTCAACAAAGCATCTACCACGTGACTTACGATCGGCTCGAAAATCCAAACTTCCGGGCACCTCTGCACAATCCTGTCATTAAGCTCTCTTACTACCTACCATCTCCCCTCCACAAACGGACCAATTGAGACGATAAAATCCGCAAATATGCTTTCGAGTCGAACTCTTCTCCGCGCCCAAAAGGCAGCTGGCGCCCCAAGGGTCTTGACCCAGGCTGTCCGAAATTATGCGGCTCCTGCTGCGGTGGATAGCAAGCCCCCAGTCGCTTTGTATGGTGTCGATGGTACTTATGCTAGTGCTTTGGTATGTGTGATTTCTTTGTTTGGGGCTTGGGAGAGGAAGTGCGGGGGTTGAGGAGGAGGTTCCCAGGGAGGGTGGAAGGGTGGGAGAAAGTGGAGGGGAAAGATGGACATGAAGGAGAGGAGGAGGGGATTGTTGATCATGAAGGGCAACATTGACACTGGCACTATCACCCACACCAGAAACGTAGCTAACCATCGATACCCTACAGTACACCGCAGCTAGCAAGACCTCTACTCTCGACAGCGTCGCCCGCTCCCTCCAATCCCTCCACAACGTCTTTCAAAGAGACGCCAAGCTCGAAACTATCATGCGAGCACCCACTCTCTCCGAAGCCGACAAATCTCAAATCATCCAGGAGCTCCAAAAACACACTGGTGGTCAAGATAAGGGTGATACTGTTAAGCACTTTTTGGAGACTTTGGCCGAGAACAATAGATTGTCGCTTTTGAAGGGTGTTTGCGAGAAATTTGGAGAGTTGATGGGGGCTGCTAGAGGTGAAATTGAATTGATTGTTACCAGTGCTTCGGTGGGTTTTACTCTTCTTTATTTCTTGGGATTGTAGGATAGAGCTAGGGAGTGGGAGTGGGAACGCTGGGGAGGGGTGATCATGTAGTGAAGCTCTGGGGAGCAATAATGGGCATATCTAAGGAAGAACCAAAGCTAACATAACATCCGCCAAACAGCAATTAGACTCCAAAACCCTCAACCGTCTCGAATCCGCCGTCGCTAAGTCCCAATACGTCGGTCAAGGCAAGAAGCTCAAGGTTACCAACAAGGTTCGTTACACATACTCCATTTCCACGCCTACTTTCCCCTCATACACTTTAACACACGTTTTCCCCTCCCTACCACTACCATCAGCACCAGAACCATCAAAAAGCTATTGCTAACACACCTCAAGGTCAACCCTGACGTCCTCGGTGGTCTCATTGTCGAAATCGGCGACCGAACCATCGATCTCAGCGTCTCCAACCGTCTCGCCAAGATGAACAAGTTACTCACTGATGCTTTGTAAACTCATCGCCATCACAAACCACACACAATGTTTCTCACGATTTTCAAAAGTTTCCCGGAATCATCGGTTTCCGGAATGAATGAGATGTTTTCCTTGGGCTATTTGGTCAACGGCTTGGAGGAACGGGGAGGGAGAGAGTGGAGCGGAATGCTTGGAAAAGGGGTGTAGGGGAAGAGAGTCGACATTCACCTAAATCTACCTTTACCTACCTGTACATGAGTAAGAATAGAAATGGAATGGAGTGTTTTCTCACATGATTTTTTAAGGAGATATTTTGTACTAGCTGAAACAGATAATATGATTGATTACATGTGAAGCGAAGAAACTTGGTATGCTCACCCGATCCCAATAATTTCTCGCAATCCTCTTGGTGTTCTTCAAGGTACTGCACTCCCAAAAAGGAAACGAATCACGATTAACGCATTTGCTCTCTATTTCATAGCTCGCTTAATTACACGCATGCACCTATCCAAAATCTATCTACCAGAATTTTTTGAACCCTATAAGCTCCGCGCTAGCTCTAGCTCTTTATCTATGTGTTTTTTTGCTTTGAATATTGATTGTCTCTTACGCATGCACGCCGGTTTTCTACTTCTCTACTTCCTCTAGACTCTAGCCATCTCATCTTCTATTTATCATCTCCCTTCCCTTGACTAGTCCTCATCCAACTGCGCCTCAAACTCATCTCCCACGTTGTCAGCCCACGCACTGTCATGACTTCTCACTCTATGCAACTGTTCGCTAACATAATTGGCCACATGTCTATCAGCCTCCTCCCTCTCTCTCAATCTTTGTTCATCCATGGGCGCTACACTTCCTTCTCTCTCACGTTGTTCTTCATCGTCATCATGTTCGTGATCTCCGAAATCTGAACGTGCACCAATGGAACGAGCAGTTGAAGTCCGACGGAGATGATATGGCTTTGGAGATTTTTGGGATTTGTTTGCTCCACCTGCAACGTGGCGGGTGAAGATATCGTCAAAGTAGTGGTTCATTCCTGAAGAAGGGGTGCGAGGGGTTTGGGGGAGACGGCAAGAGATTCTGGAGTTCATATTAGTACTTTATTTAGAATCGAGACTTGAGCATTAGGAAGTACTTACCCAGTATCGTGAATCATCCTGGCAATTAAACCAGTCCAACCGCATTGATGCGTAGCACCCAAACCACGACCACTATCACCATCAAAGAACTCGTAGAACCACAAGTTGTCCTTCCAGTTGGGATCAAAGTCCAGGATGTCATTACCATCGTTAATAGCACGACGTCCGTCATCACCACGAGCCATAAGATGTTGAAGACGATGCTGGATCTCTTCGGAAACATGACCAAGATGCATCATATCTCCTGATCCAGTAGGACATTCGACTTGCAATGATGGCCCATAGAACATATAGAAGCGTTGTAGAGACTCGACGAGCAGGAAGTTGACACACAGCCAAATTGGACCTCTCCAGTTACTGTTGCCACCAAACATACCACTGTCTGAATCTCCTGGTACGTATTGAACACCGAATTTCTGGCCATTTACATCCATTGATACTGGGTTCTTTTCGTGGTATTTTGACAACGATCGAATACCATGTTCACTGAAGAATTCATCCTCATCCAACATGCGTTTCAAGATCTTCTCGAGACGATCTTTGCTCACAAGTGATAACAAGATTCGGTTACCCTTTCCTCTCTTCTGGATACTAGCCATGTTACGTTCAGCAACGTCATGTCGGTTCTCTACAAACCAATCAACTCTCTTTTTAAAGTTTGGTAATTTGTTGATGAGCTCTGGCTCCAGGGTGAGAGTGGCGTATAATGGAATCAATCCTACCAGGGACCTGACAGGTAACTGTTGGGTCCATGGTCCACCATAGGAGATAGCATCATAGTAGAAACCATCTTCGTCGTTCCACAAAGATTTCTCTCCAGAGCCAGACTTGTAAGTCATGGCATCACTAATGAGCATGAAATGCTCGAAGAACTTGGAAGCGATATCTTCGTAGATTCGGCGATGCTTAGCTAACTCCAATGCAATGTTTAACATGCACAGGCAGTAAAAAGCCATCCATCCGGTACTGTCTGCTTGCTCTAAAGTACCTCCAGTTGGAAGCGGCTCAGAACGATTAAAGAGACCAATGTTATCCAGGCCGAGGAAACCACCTTCAAATACATTCTTTCCGTCGAAATCCTTGCGATTAACCCACCAGGTAAAATTGAGAAGTAATTTCTGGAACACTCGTTCCAGGAAATCGAGATCTTGACGTCCATACAACTTTCTCTCGATTTTGAATGTTCGGAATGTGGCCCAAGCATGTACAGGTGGGTTGACATCTCCAAAGTTCCATTCGTAGGCGGGAAGTTGCCCATTGGGATGCATGTACCATTCTCTGGTGAAAAGATCCAATTGCTTCTTAGCGAAATCTGGATCAATCATGGCAAGTGGAATACAATGGAAAGCGGAATCCCATGCTGCGAAGAAAGGATACTCCCAAGAATCTGGCATAGATAAAATATCATCCAAATACATATGCTTCCAGTTTAAGTTCCGAACAGCTTTACGGTCGGGTGGAGGTGGAGGTTGGGCTGGGTCGCCATTCGCCCACTGGTCCCAGATGAAGTGATAATGTTGTTTGCACCACATCATACCAGCAAACGCTTGTCTTTGAATGTTTCGGAGATCGTCAGCCATTGGCAAAGGACTGATACGGTAGTAAAACTCGTCAGCTTCATCCTTTCTCTTGTCCATAGTGTTATCGAATTCTTCTTCGTCCAAGTAATCTGTGTACTTTTGGGACATTCTGAATCTGACCACAGCACACTCTCCTGGTGCCACTCCGCCACCCTCGTTGAAACTATACCAAGCTGCAGACTTGGTTCCGTGTTCCTTAGGGTTGATTGCCTTCTTTTCTCGGTCTACGATATAACGATGGAATGCATCCTTGACATATGGTTGGGCATTCTTTCCCTTGTACAAGAGGGCATTGTTTGTATCGTTCTCCGTGAAAATCAATTCAGGTTGAACATCGACACCACTGGGTCCAACACCCGGAGAAGGAGACAAGATCATGTATCGTTCGCCTAGCTTGTGATGACGAGCGTGGGCGGCATTCTCGCCAATCTTACTGATTTTTGGCTTCTTGTCCTCGGCCTCATGACCCCAAGCCCAAGTATTTCTAAACCAGAGATGGGGAATAATGTGTAATGGTGCTGGCTCGGGGCCCCGATTCCACGCGGTCACTCGGAAAAGGAGCTCGTCTGGATTCTCCTCATCTTTTGCAGTCTCAATGTAGATATCCCAGTATCGGTCGTCATCGAAAATACCAGTGTCCAGAATTTGATATTCATTTTCGTCTTTCCCTCGTTTGGCGTTCTCTGCGATCAAATCCTCGTACGGAAACTTCTTTTGGGGGTATTTGTACAAGTATTTCATGTAAGAATGCTATATAGATTTGTCAGTCTTCCTGAATGTATACAAAGCTGCTGGGTACTTGACTAACCGTTGGAGTGTTATCAACATGGAAATGTGCCTCCTTGATACTCTCTCCGTGATTTCCTTGTGGGTTCGATAATCCGAAGAGACGTTCCTTTAAGAAGTCACTGTATTCTGGTCAGTTTCCAAGCATTATATTTACAAACTGCAAGCTATACTCACTCTTCTTCGTTCCAGAAGGCAAAAGCAACGTTCTGTAAACCATGTGTATCCGAGACACCGGCAATACCATCTTCTCCCCATCTGAAAGCTCTGGATCTTGCATGTTCATGAGGGAAATCTGCCGATTGTTAGGGATGCACAAAATACTATCGAAAAGGTTGGAAGTGAAACTTACGACTCCACGCATCTCCATCGGCACTGTAATCCTCTCGCACTACGGATCGATGTCAGTAATGATAAGCTCACAAATACTTTCCGAGAGAAATACCTGTAGCCCACTGCCTCTCAGCAACGTAAGGTCCCCATTTCTTCCAATACTTTGTTCTCTCACGGTCCTCCTTCAAGCGTTTCTCTTCCTCCGACAAATATTCATGGGAATCGATTTGTACCATGGTGAAGTTGTGGTGGGGTAAGAGTTGACAATGCCGATCACAGATATTGGTTTCACTCGATTCGCAGATAGCGGAATCTCAATCAACCAACCGTTGGTTTTCTTGAAGACTGTTGTTGATTTTGAGTGAGTGCGGTTATGTCTTGGGAAGAGATGTCGAGAAGAGGGAAATAATTAGTGTCGGCGCATATGGCAAAGGTAAAAGGGACGGGGGGGGGGGGAGAGGGGGGAGGGTTAAGGAAGCTAAAGACTGGCGTGAAAAGGTGTGGTGTGCTACTTGAGATATGCACGCAGATAGGAAAAATCGATCTGTTTCCTACACGAGTAAGAAAGGAATAGGGTAAAAGGGTAAAGCAAGGTTGTGAGCAATGAGCATGCAAGCCATCGACGATTTAAGAGGATGGTTAGTTTCTGATTCTTAGTTTATCTGCCTCGTTCTAGATGTATTTGTTGGTCTTGGGTGGATGAATCTTCATATTAAAAATATCTACTTAGGACAACAAGGGTGGAGTGAAGGGAGGGTAGGTAGGCTGAGGTAGGTAGGTAGGTGCGAGGGAGGTGCTAGGTTGCTAGGTAGCTAGGTACGAAAGCTTCGGTGTGCATGGTGGGTGCATTGTGCAAGCGGCTATCTGGAGTGACGTATTGAGTGAAGTTCGACTTTTGACTTTGAGCTTCACCCAGCCGTTTCCGAGTTGGCGCCACCATTTTCACATCTCCGAGTGTGCAGTGTGTACCTAGTACGTACGGATTGTGTTCCTGGTGGATTGGCGGTTCGAAGAATACCTCGAAGAATATCTCGAAGAATATCTCGAAGAACATCTCTCAGAATATCTCTCAGTAGTCGCAAACTTAATTCTCTTTTATAAATTCTAATCAAATTGAGACTACATACCTACCATGATACTTTCACGACCCTTCAAGATCTAAATGATATAAAACACAAGCACGCTCACGACGAGGTGAATCCTCGGCAGGCCGGAGTTCACACACAGAACGGACCTCTCCACTCATCCAGGTTTTGAAAATTGGAGAAGTTGGAGGAGTTGGAGGAGTTGGATGTCGGATATTGGATATTTGGAGATATATGAGGGAAAGTGGAGTGAACCAGGTTTAGAAAAGATCTTTTCTAATCTACTCCGTACTCCTCCGTGTTACTATCGACTAGGTACCCCACTAGATTTGTTGGATTGCAAAGCCTCAACAACAAATAACGACAACAACGACAACACCCAACGCTAAAGAATGAACAATTCATCGTGAATACGAAATGATTCACAATGGGCGTCGTTGGGCTTCATTGCATCTTAATGAGGCAGAGAAGCGTTCTTTTCACATCTTTTTTCCTTTTTTCTCTTTTTACCCCTCCATCTTTGCTGGGATCAAACGAACTCGAAGCATGGACTCACCTTAGCTAAGCAGCTTACTTGACAACGAGAGGGGAGGGGCTGGCTCGCTGATAGAGCTTTTCATCTCTTCCTCTTCCTCTTCCTCACATACTTTTCTGGTCAGGATCACGTGCAACATCAATCACATCAATCGCTCCTCGAGACTTAGGTATATCACTCCCATCAAGCTGTCCAAGGTTTGCACGGGATGAAATATGATGTTGGTCTCTATACCAAGTCAAACACGAGTCTCGAATCTCATAGTGGGTCTTTAACGTTAAACATGCTAGGTATTTCACACATTCTATCTCGGTCGTTGAAAGGTCACCATATATCAAAAGAGTGTCGGACCTCCTTAAGAAAATAAGAAGTTCGCACTATGGACAGAAAAGCAAAGAAATAAAATAATAATTCCGTCATATGATGCCTACTTCTAGTGAAGAGCAATTGGGTCCATTGAAGTGCACGTGAAGTGTTGATTAATCAGCCTCAAATCTTCACATCGCGTCCTCATATACTTGCGATCGCCTGCAGAAATTTCGAGACAAGACATCATCATTATCATATAAACATTGCTACATCCGAAAGACCGATTCCTTGAATCCAATGTCCGATAGAAAGCAACAGATGAAAGCTTAGGTCATATTGCTACCGCTCAGTGGCGCTGAGGTTGAAAAAATCGTGTACATGCCAAAGATCTCCAATTATCCGAATATCGCCGCAGTCCCTCGTTCAACTGTTTACATGCCTCACAAAAATGAGACGTCAGTGCTTGTTACTTCATGAAAATATCCTTACGCAACAATTGATGAAAATGATGCTGATTTTGACTCTCACGGCTAACCATGACAAAACAGCACTGCGGAGGCGGAATACCATATCAATGGATCAACGGGCTATCAAGTCAATGTATGCTTATCAGCTTCGTCAAAATTGACGATCTATCAAATTGTCCTGTATCTTTTAGCTTCTTTCCATCTACAATTGAGGTTCGTTCTAAGAGATCACATTCATCATGTGCTTGCAACATTTTCCTAGATTCTATCAGGACTTGTTTCCTTTCTCGGACCTGTTCACAAGTGGACAAAGCCATCGCAGTGCCGAGGATCGAATAACGTTCTTTTTCTTTTCGTGGACTACTTCTGGCTTTGTCCATTCTAGGTCAACCTTTGTCGGCCGCTCAATATCAAAGAGGTACTCTAGATATCAGATATTGAAACTATTTCTCAACAGTGCAAAGACAAAGAAGCCATGCGCAGTTATTATGCGTGTGGTTTTCATACTTGAAATCTATATTCTCGAATAATTCAGCTCTCTCTCTCAAACATCGATACTTCATAACGATTTGCAAAATGTCAGGTAAAAAGACTCTGAGGGAACAATTTGCAGCCATCCGCGCTCGCGAAGCAGGCAAAAGCAGCAGGCCCACTACATCCAATGAAGAAGAACAAGACATAACCGAATCTCCCGTAGCCCAACCCGAAGCTGCGAAGCTCAACCCCCATGGACGTGCGGGCAAGCAGAGTGGGGATCAGATGAGAGCTTCGTTGACAATAGCTCGGATAGAGCAGCGAAACAACGACAATGAATTGCAAAGCATCAGAAGAAGAGCCACGGTGTCACACGCCCAACAGAACCGTTCTCTCTTCTCGAGACTAGCAAGACAAACAACGATATCTCAGGCTGAAATACGGACAGACCTTGCGCCAGAAATCGAACAATTGAGTTACAAGTTGGAAAGTCAAAACGAGATTCTCAGAACCTTGGGTGAAAATACCGATAAACACACCGAGGACAATAGAGTTCTAAGCAGGGCAGTCGACGAAAGCATTGCCAAAGCCAAAGAATATCAAGCCAAAGTACACGAGCAAAATTTGCTAATAGCTCGGTTGGAAAGCGAACTTGCAACTATTAAGGCCAAGGCTAGTGCGTTGCAGACAAGCAATGAAACATGTTCTGTAGATAAGATATCCAAAGATGAGAAGATCACAAAACTTTTCAGATTGTTGGCCGAAAGCAATCGACAACTGCGAGAATCAGAGGAAGCCAGAGCAGCAGCGCCAAAGTCTCCAAGTCCCTCCATCGATGCAGCCCATATCCAGAGTATCAAAATCAAGGATAGCGCAGCCGACAAAGAAGAGATCACCATCTTGAACTCGAAAGTTTCAGCGCTTGAAGAGGAGTTACATGCTGCAAGGGTGCAACTCAAAGAACTAACTCTCAAAGCAAGACAGATGGCTGAAAATCACGCAAACGAGATGGCAGAGCTCACAGAGGCAAAAGATGATCTTTCAATCGAAATGACTTGCATGAAGCAAAGTCTGATCTCCCAGAAGGAAGCTGCTGAGAAGCAGCTAGAAGAGATGGTAATTCTTGTGAAGAAGCTCAAGCTGGAGTTAATCGAAAGCAAGGGTAATTTCCGATCTTGGTTGCGGATCAGACCTCCGCAAGGCACTCTCGGCAAGCAACCTATCTCTATCAAGGGTGGTGATTCTGTCGAAGTCCTTGATCGACATGGCACTGCCAAAACCTTCAAATTCGATCGTGTCTTTGCCCCTGAAGCCAACAACGCCGTTGTGTTTGGTGACTTGAGCGAAATTCTCGAAGCTGCCCTTCAAGGCTACGATATTACTATCCTTGCATATGGACAAACTGGCTCTGGGAAAACATATACCATGAGTGCCATGCTCGACATGGCAATGGAACAAATTTTCACTCAGCTTGCCAAATCCTACGGATCAGACTACAGCGTCCAGGGCCGTTGCATCGAAGTGTACGAACAAAAGGTCTACGATCTTTTCAAGCCAGCACGCGAACAACTAAAGGTATCAACCGACTGCAGCGGCATGTGGCCCATCCGTGACCAGTTGCTTCAAGTACACACTGCTCCTCTCCACAGCCTTGAATCCGTTCAAGAAATGGTCCAGGAAATAAACAAGAATCGTACCTCAGGTCAAACTGCGAAGAACGACACTTCATCCCGATCCCACATGTTTTTATCCTTCCAGGTAAAAGCATCCAAGACCGAACAATCGGGCGCCATCACCACCACCCGCTCCGGAATCACATTCGTCGATCTCGCCGGCTCCGAATCCTTGAAAAATGTCACTGATCGCGTGTCAGAAACTCAGGCTATCAACGCCGAACTTTCTGCACTAAGATCGGTGCTCACATCCATGGGAACAAACCAACCGCGAATCCCCTTCCGCGACACACAACTCACTAGGTTACTCCAAGACGGTTTCACGACCGGCAAAGTCCTCTTCATTCAAGCAGCTAGTCTGGGCGAATTGGAGGAATCGATCCACACGATGGATTTTGGAGGCTTGGTTAGTAAAGTGACGCAGAAGAAGCCGGCGAAGAATGTGATTACAGCATTCGCGGGCACGGAACCGGCTGCCGCAGGAGAAGGAAGATCAACGCCAACAACGCCGACGACTCCGACCCCGATGAAACCGGCGACGGGTACGCCTAGTACGAGAGGTGCTAGGGGTGGCTCGAGAGGTGGTGCTTCGGGGAAAAGTACACCCACTCCGAGAGGGGGCGCGAAGAAACGAGGAGTCTGAGAGGAGGTGATGATGATGATGATAAGGGGATTTGGGTTTGGAGTTGGAGGATTTGATTCTTTCGGATGGACTTGCATTTCTTTTTATTGGTATTTGTTCTTCTTAGAAACTGGTTACGAGGTAGAGACTATGATTCATATATAAATATAAAGTATAAAACATAAACATAAAATACAAAATAAATCGATTGATGATATATTTGATACGAGGAATTAGATGTGATAGTGTTAGTGATAGGTATAATAATAGGTAATAATAGGTAACAATAGGTAGGTACTAATAAATTAAAAAGAGATATAAGACACTACTCTCTAAATTTAGATTTACATATCCGTATCCGTATTCAAATACAAATGCATAAAATCCAAAATCTCCCCATTTCAATCCCAATGTCATTCATAAATGATAAGAATCACATCATACTCGTATATAGATTAAGATCTTATATACCCATACCCCCCTCCCCTTAGAATATCTCGCTTTTTAACTCTGATTTGAATTGCATACTTTTATATACCTACCTATCTAGCCAGCCAGCCAGCCAGCCAACTCTCTCCTCTCCTCTGTAGATTGCTCTACCATCTCAAATCCCCATCTCTACAGTCTCCATCCTCACGTCTAGAATTTTGTAACTAGATACTTCCTTTAATCTGTCAAGCATAGTCGATATGATTTCTCTTCTCACGGTCTCGTTCTCCTTTTCTTCACCATCATCTTTCTCTTCCTCATCATAATGTAAACGACGAGGTGCAAGTTCCGGACTCGAGTCGAACTTTTTAATTTCGTGCGGGGGATTGTCGGTATTTTTATGTTTGTTTTCTTGATGATTGAATGTGAAAGATGAGGTTGGGGGTGTGGAAGCTACCAAGGAGGTGTAGGTGTATGATGAAGAGGGAGGAGCGGGGGAGGGTGTGTAGTGAATTTTTCCTTGGGGGAGAGCTGGAATTGGAGTTGGAGTTGGAGTTATAGGGTCGAGTTTGATATTTGTGGTGGGAGAACCGTTTTCTTCGTATCTCCAGGATAGGAAACCTTTTTCTTCTTTCTCTAGATTTCGATCTGGACTTCGATTCCCATCCTTCTCTTCCCTTGACACTCCCACCAGATTATCCAGCAAAAGAATCCCAATCCACTGGCCCGTCTCGCGACTAAAAACGCAGAAATCGTGGAAACCTATCTCCCTATCTTGTTCGTCCTCATGATCACTCTTGATAATTTGCGTAGAAGATCTATACAGAGAAGTGGTTTCGAAAACCATAGGTACGAATGTGCCTTGCAGGGTTTTTCCTTCGTCGGTGGTGTACTCCACATCTTCGATGCAAAACCATAATTCTTCGTATGTTTCTGGAGAGAGGTCTACGTTTTCGTCTTTGGATGTTTCGGGGGTGTTGAATACCCAGCGAGTCAAGCGCCAGGAAGCGGTGGAAATACATCCGGGGTGGATAATGCGAAAGTTGTTGGAATCGATGGGGAAGAAGTTTTGGAGAAGGGTGCGTGAGGTGCTAAAGGTTAGTGTTGCTGTGGTTTTTGAGAGGGTTGAATTGAGGTGGGGATTTGAAATTGGCGGGGTTCTAGATCCGGATGAGGTCTGTTTGGTTGTATATTGATGGGGAAGTCCGGGAGAGGGGAGCGGTCCTAGAAAATGGGGTATGATTAAGATGGGCTAGAGATCAGAGTGACAACTTGATTGGTGAAGACGTACCGAAACTAGCGGGTCTTAGATAGTAAGCAGAAAGATGGGGATTGCGTTTCCACATCCATTTTCGGAGTTGATGGGTCGAATTATCCCATTCGTCATGCTGCAAGTTGTGGTTCACGAATTGGCGAACTGGATAGAGATATTAGTATGACATCAAGGTATACCCAAAAAGAATGATGATGTGGAAAAAAAAGGAAAGATGACGCACTATCAATGATCACATCATCTCCCTCCACAGGATCTCTCCCCAAAACCCTCGAAAATTCCTGAATCCGATGAGCTCTCCCCATTCTGATTTCCTCGTATAATTTCAACCGTTCTTGAATATCTTCTTTTCCCACATCGCCCGGGAGAACCACTGCTAAAGCAGCAGCATCCTCAATAGCACTGCCGGCCCCTTGACCTTGATGAGGCAGATATGGATGTGCTGCGTCGCCTAGCAATACAAGATTTTCCTTTGTAAAAGTGGGGAGTGGATGCATGTCAAGAAGACGCCAGACTTTGAGGGAGCCGGTTGCATTTGTATCAGAGGTATCAGACACAGGAGCCATTTTCAATAGTTCCAACATATCTTCATCCCAACCCTCATAAATCTTCAACAAATTCTCCTTATCACCTCCCTTTCCCCATCCTTCGTCATTATCCGTATTTTCAGACAATGCATTAGGATGTAAACAAACGAAGTTAAGTAAGGAATTAGAAGAAGTTGGATAAATTATCACGCGCCGATCCGTCCCAAACCACATGATCAATTCCCCATCTTTCTGCATGAATTTTGCGGTTTTGGGGTTAGAGAGAACGGAGGAACGGGAGAGAAGAAAACGATAGGCACTTTTCCCACACGCGAAAGGGGAGATTTTGCATTCTGGGGTTTGGACAAAGGAGCGAGTGAGGCTGTGGACGCCGTCTGCGCCGATGATCAAATCGCCGGTGCAGGATGTACCGTTTGAGAAATACACGGTGGATGTAGTGGGGTCGAGAGTGGTTACTTTGTGGGAAGTGAGGAGGGTAATGGGAGGGTGTGGGGGAGATAATGCGAGGGCTTTGGATTTAAGATGGGAGTGAAGTTGCACGCGGTGGGCTAGAAACCAGGGCTAATGAGGAATCAGTTAGTTTTTTTAAGGAGTGGGAGTAAGGGGAAATACATGATGCCATTGCTTGTCTTCCTCGATTAGATCCATAGTTCGGTTCAACGAACCGGATGATGTGTACTCTGTCATCTAGATTGAACAGTTCACATTAGTGACTGAGCAGTATGAATAGGCATGATCTTCAAAAAATAAGAAGAAAATTATCAGACAAAAGCCGAAAGCAAATAATCTCCAAGCTCACCCAATTCAGAGAATTTGCACCGCTTTCCTCCAGGAATACACCCAATCTTTTCAATATTCCATTCGCATTCGGTTGAATATGAATCGCAGCACCATATTCCGAGGCAAATTGGGATTGTTCGAAAACCTGTAATATCCTCGTGAGCTTAGAAACCAGTGATAAAACTTAGCTTCTTGCAGTGAAGCATGGCTAATAAGGGTGAGAAATGGGTTGGACAGATGTACAGTAACTTCATGACCCTGTTCTCTCAAAGCAATTGCCGCAGTTAAGCCACCAATGCCAGCTCCTACGATGATGATCTTGAGGGGCATGGTAGAGATTTTGGTAAGAAATACTCAAGTCTATTGCTTTTTCTTTGAATTGAATTCAATTTGCAAGCTTTCGTCGATTATATGAAATTTGGGAAAAGGTGACAAGGCAGTGAAGTAGGATTGCCGTTTCTGTGATGTCGTACTGGCAATTCTTGAGACTAATGACAACGCAGCTGAATAAACAGTCTCGCTTGTTGTGTAGCAAGCAGCTCCAGCTGTTTATGCATCCATTCATTAGTGCTGCATGGAGTGGAACCAATCAGATGTATACACGAACATAATCTCAATCATTACTTTGATTATGATTTGATTGTTTCCTTTTCTAATAATAAGTATTTAAGGTTTTTTCATCTATCCCCTAGACCGCCGACTTAGGACTCCTTTGTGGTCCGTGCGCTGAGCAGGAATATCAATAACCTCATAAATAGTATTATAAATAAAAGTGCTTATATTTAGAATTAAAGATTCAAATTTCTCATATAAATGATAATAAATATATGAGATTTATCACTGTGTGTTTTTAATTGAAAAAAATTAGTTGAAAACTTTTATAAATATTATTATATTTTACTTCTCAAAAGAAGAAAACTTTAGATGTGATTTATAAATAATTTACAATAATAATAAGATATCAAATCAAAAATTCAATATTTATTAAAAAGATAAAGATATATATAAAATTATATAGAAATATAACGAATATACTATTTATTTTTATTACAATAATAAGTGGTTGATATTTATTATAAAAAAACGTTTCAAAATAATGAGATTTCTCTAAATCCTGATGATTTGATTGGTCAGTATGACCCTGTATACGCGAGGAGTCCTAAGTTGGCGGTCTAGGGGATAGTATGTGAGAAGATCAAACATCTTCGTCCCACCCCGGCCACACTCGTTCAAAATTCAAAGAGGCTAAAACCTTTGATTGCGATTTTTATCCCAAATTTTCTGTGGAGATTGAGGCTTTTATAGCGCTTGACTTCACGTTCTAAAATCTAGAACCGACTGAAGTCTTCGATTGCTATAAGCTCGAATCAACTTTGTGCGCGCCGACCGCTCTCAACCATATACAATTTCCAAGTTTCTTGTATGAAATTGTCAACTCGATTTCATCACAGTTGTCAGGCTCAAAGCTTTCGGAAAACTATGATCTTTTACCCTTTTGTCTTCTCTCAAGCTTCTACCTTATGTCTGTGGCAAATTGCGAATCGGGTAGAATTGCTGGTATATGAACCATTCACCTTTAGCATGCTGATCTTGGCAATCGTCCTGTACAGGGAAATTACCAGGCACGGACAGCAAGAATTTGGTGTTAGTAAGCCCTCAACCATCTGACCCTTTCTCATACGATAGAATTCGGATCCTTTTCGAACTCTATCTATTTACGTCACTCCTGTCCGGTCCCTCACCAGTGCTCACCATCTCCAACGGCCAAGCCATCAATTCCTGCAACTCAACTTCGTCCCCTGCTAGTGACAAAGTCTTCTTGACGTCCAAAATGAGGTTTCGTCCCCATTCTCCAATAAACCAGTCATCCCGAGATGCATGAAGTGCCACTCCATAATGTGCCAAGATTACTAATGCGAGCGGTCGCATTTCCTTCAGCAGCGTTGCAAAGCTCCGTTCTGCATCAAGTAAAAAGGGCCATATTAAAACAACTCCATTGTCCGCTTCACTCGAGTTTAAAAGCATGAAGACGTCTCGTAGGGTGCTGATGGCGTTTTTGTAAGCACTCAATTCTTCAGAGGAGAGTGGAGAAGGAGATGTGTGCTGAGATGAATAGGATTGTTGCGCAGATGATTCTGATGACGATAGGTTTGGCTGCGATGACATTGACTCGATACGTGCCGTAAGAAGCCTAAAGGCCGAGTCCGAAGATTGGAGGCGAATTTTGGCGTACGACCCAGCTTCGCAAGACTGGAAGCGATCTGTGACGAGGGCAGAGATGGCACTGTCTTCTAGCCACTGCCAGTAGATGCTAACTAGTGTGAAGGCACCTTGGAGAAGAATGAAGAGGCTGGAAGCTAGTTGAATAGGACTATCAAATTTCTGCAGTTGTTCATGGTAGGAGTAGTCAGAGGGCATTGATACAGGGGATTTGTTGCAGATAGGAAACGCGAGAGTACATATAGAGATCAACGTAGAGCAAATGAACATTGCAGAGCAGTTATCTGGTGTAATTCTATGCAATTCAGATCGATAAAGCGAGAGAAAAAGGTCATGATGTCGGATTGCAGGGGCAAGATATAGGTCTCTTTTGGCGGGATTGAGAAACGCGAGATGAAGTGCAGAGATATTCAGAAGACCGTGCATCATGAACGGGTGATCAGAAGCCATTTTTGGGATCGTGGTCCGCCATAGATTTTGGATTGATTCGATGCAGGAAAAGGTCAGATATGTCTCGGTAACGAAGTGACGCATGAGTTCTAGATCTTCCCAAAAGATTGAAGTACCAGTCTCCGCACGTGAGAGATGCGGAGGAGTAGAAATTTGACTTGAAAAAAGAAATTCCTGGTCAGAAGCTTCGCTGTAGGTTGTAGAGATGTCAGAGACTTCGCGTTCTTGTTCGGAGACGGCCGAGGTAGTGGGTGGAAGGAGAAAAGGCTTAGATGTCTGACTTATATCCTTCCGCCGCAATCCATAAGTACAATTCTTTTCTTTCTTCCTACATGACCCACAGGTAGGATGGCCTTGATCGCACTATGATGTTGTCAAGATTTTGCTAAAAAGCTCCTGAAATCACGGATTTACCTTGATGTGAGAGGCTTTGCACTGTATGCAACCGTGTCGACTCTTTGTGTGAGGTCGCCTCGGCGGCATTTTGAGTAACGTTACAGCAGGTAGCCGAGTAAGGGGTAGAAGCTATGTTAGTTTTGGTGTTGTGGGCGTGACAAATGAAAATAATCTGAGTAGACAGATGCTTTAGGAACCAATGTAGGGTTGTATGCCAGCGTGGCCAGGAATGGCAAAGTTAAGGCGCAATGCAATGCAACCTTGGAAGTCCCAAAAGGGCCCGAGGCTGTGTCAAGGATTCTGCTGAGTAAGCAATATACACAAGTATGGAATAAACCGAGTGGGCCATATCATATCAGGTTAGGGCAAATTATGTTTTGGTTAGTGGTAATAACAAAGGCGGTGAGACAGCCTCTAGCGCTATATATCGTATATCGTATCTGCTTAGGTAACTACTAGGAAATGTGGTTCATGAGTCAGTCGAATGTATCAGTGGGCCGGACGCTTTTTCAGTCCACCAATTCTGAACAGTTTTCCACGGTATAGCAACTGAGTTTGATAAGGCTCTGTTACGAGAAAGTAAATTCTATATACCTCCCGTAAATACAACATCCTTGTCCAGGATTGTGTCTGGGGCCCTGCAGGTAATATCACGTGATGCTAAAGCTACACGTGACTGGCCGCAATACCAATAAATCAATCATCTATTTCTTTTCTTGAGCTCAAACTGTTCAAGCACACTTCCAATCTCAGCCTCCTGCAGGGGCGCCTTTTCATTCATATACGCGCTCAACATTTGCCTCCCTTCCAAGACCCGTTTTTGAGCCGTTGAAAGCCCCATATCATTAATGCTCTTGTACAGGCCCATGGCCGGGTAGGCCATCAAACCAAACATTGCTGCCCCCAAAATCAGCTCAAAGTTCTGGCTCGGAATTATATCAGGAACTACGAAAAAAGAGAACGGAGAATCTTCAGATGAGATTCGAAACACGTACCAGCTCCAGGTTTAGTTATGAGACCCACGGTCCCCTTAGCAAGACCTTTTGCAAATCCAAGGGCGCCGTCCTTCTTAGCTCCTTGCATTGGTTGCGTGACTATGCCAGTAATACCATCATAGAACCCATATCCGAAGCTCTATGAGATGATTAGTCACATATCAAGGCATAAAAGAGGCAATAGGATAACGGTACCTTTCCTGCGATAACACCCCCACTCTTCCAATCTGTCAAAGCTCCATGGTCGCGCACCTTCTCACCATATAAGGTTGGAACGGCATGAAATCCATCTGCTAAAGCCATGGGAACGGAAACCAATGTTGCTTTGGTTATACTACCCCCTAGCGCGACCATACCGTGTCCAATAGCCCCGCTAGTAGAGCTGACCTTATCTGCTCTACTGTCCGACGCCACGTTAAAGGCTTTATACGGGTCAGCGACGGTGTTCCATAAAGCAGTTGAAAAATCAACAATAGTGCCCAGTAGCGCAGAGGATGTAGCGGTAAGAGGGCCCCAACGAGGGTTTTCAATTTCGAAAGGCCGCGACTTAAACCTTGTGTGAATCAGTAATTGCAAACTGGGTTCATCACTTTTTAGTTTGATACTTACACTGTAAGATCCTTTGCAATGATCTTCTTGTTTTTCAGTAATATATATGCAGCTCTATCGGACAACTTGACCTGGTAAGCCTTCCTGCTCCAAAGCCACACAGCATTTTGGCTTCCTAATAAATCACAACACATAGCGTCAAGTGGTAGGTTGCGATGGAACGAGTTGGCAGCCTCTTTAACCCCGCGTTCATCTTTCATTCGAGCAGCGATTAAGGCGGCTGCCCTGCCAGTCTCAGGCGCTTGGCAGATGCGAATGGCGGCAGTTAATTTGGCACTGTCGAGAGTTTTAAAGTGTATAGGCCGGGGCCCGGCGCCAGCGGCAGCTACCATATCTGCCCAAAAAGGTTGACTGAACCTGTCAGTAATCAGAAGCCCCCAAATATGCTCCAAGAGCGGGACGAAATCACGAACTCGCCGAAGAAGGGTATGATTGAAGTTGGACGGCCGTTCAACAGCCCACATGCCGTAGTTCCTGCTCCGCCATGGTGGATGACAATTGAGACGTTCTTGAAAAGCCATTCTGCAGCATAATTAGCGGATACACACACGCCAGTGTAGAAATTCTCTTACCATGCGGACAGTCTCCAATAAAAAGAACATTCGGGTCTGAGCGATTCGTTCCGAGCTTGCTCCAGCCCTTGGAGACAATGGCCCTCACGCCACACGCTCTGGTGGCCTCGAGTATTATCTCAGTCATCTTTGCAGCATCTTCCATGACAATGCTTCCGAAGCCAATGTAAATTGGCATTGGGCCTGATTTCAGGAACTCTGCTAGCTCTCTATCTGGTGTATATGGAGTCTCCTCGCGGAAGAAAAAGCCGCACACATCTGCCAATCGATTTAGCTGTTACTCCAGACAAATCTTAGTAGCTTACCAATGTATGATGGCCAGTCTACAGGCTTCGGTATCAGCGCTGGAGACCAGCAGTATGTAAATGGAATTTTCAGTGCCTCCGCAAGGCCCATACCGGCCATAGCAGGAACGGGCTCTAGATTCAGTGCCTTCTTCCTCCACAAATTGATTACATCAGATAAGCTGCAATGGCAATTAGTAAATTCATTTGAGCCTCTTGAGACACACTAACCCTTGCCAAGTCATCATGTCGACTAGCCCATACGACAAATAGTTGGCCGTCCTTGGATCTGCATCTCCATTCTGTATGTTCGCTAAGGGGTGTGGGAAGGCTCGTGTCGGACTCCATGGCATAGTAAACATAAGATGCAATGGTATACTGAGCGCTTGGGCACAGTGAATGTGCGCAAAGCTTGGCGGGTTCGCAATAATCGCGTCAGCGACGAAAGGTATGCCTGTTGTGGGATCTGGCATGATGCATGATTCCCAGCAACCGTTGAGCATTGTGTAGATCATCTTGCGCTTGCGTCCAATGTCTCCTGATCGCAGCGTATCGAAATTAGGTATGATACTCGGATTTTTAACCATGTACTACGGACGTGAGTTGCGTTAAGTCATAGGGGGGAATGGAGGAACACACGGCCATAAGACCAGCGGGATCTCCGCCGATAGGGAAGAATTCTAGTTCCGACGATTCGACGAAGTCTTTAAAATTTCCATGTGTTGCTATGCGGATGCGGTGGCCACTAGCCTTGAGCTCTTGTCCTAACGCAATGAAAGGCTGTACATCGCCTGTGGAGAGTAAGCATGTAAGCAACACACTGTTTGCCTCTGTGCTCCCGCCAGCATACCTCTACTACCAACGATTTGGATGACGATATTAAGCGAAGGGTGGGCAGAATATGTCGCTATCAATGCCGCATTGGGGGAGCTGTTATTCGGAAGTATTGGTGGAAGTATATCTGAGCTTGCTGCTTTCGCCTTTACGCAAACATCAAGCCGACCGTCATCTGCCGTGCAATTGGTTAGAGGGAACATTCATGCCGGGGATGGGAAGTACCTGTAACCGTCGCTGAAATATTTCCTGAGCTTCCATGCAGAACCGCGTCATAAGGCGGTGGTTGGTCCCAGTTGATATGGTCATCTCCAGATAACTCCTGAATCTCGAAATCACCTTCCCGAGTTTTGGCTTTGTAACTCATATTGCCAGACAACAAGTGTGGTATTATTGCTGCTTTCGAATTGCAATGAAATGCGCAGTCTTGAAGGAGATTTTGAGTACCAGGCGAAGCTGGAGGGTCTTTGCTAGAAAAGAATGGGGTGTGACGGCTTATGAAATGCCACTTGACAGATTAGCTTGGATCCCCCAGATTAATTGCCAAGATGTCTTACCGCTAAGTCGCCCGATCCCGGGATAATTCGATTTCGAGCCAGTACGTTGATCAGACTAGCGGTAGATCTTAAGCGAGTACGGTGATCAGAGTTATGCAGATCTTAAGCGAGTACGATGAATGACTTGGCTCTATGTAGGAGAAAAAACAGGCCGGAATTGACCATTGCGCAATGGTACGTGCACCCTCACCAAAACAACGTGTAGAGAGAGGTATTACGCATTGGTCAATTCCAGCCTGTTTTTTCTCCTACGTAAAGTTTGGATACCGGCTCTACGTAATCGAAAAAAGCAGCGGAAATTGATCACTATTCAAAAGAACTTTAACAACTAAGATCTCTTTTCGATATAGTATTAAATGATAATAAAACTTAATATCAATATAAAAAAGACTCAAATTTTCATTTGCTTTTTTCAAATTTCAATATTTAATTTGAAATGAATTTATAATCTATTAAAAAAGACCTTTGAAAGAGTACTCAATTTCCGCCGCTTTTTTCGGTTACGTAGAGACCGGTAGTGTACTCTTAAGTTAGCGTGCTTCAAATCTATAACATACATCATCTGTTGTCATCCTTGAATTTATCACCAAATTATTAATAATCCACTTATTAACAGGGCTTTATTTCATTTGATTAATGCTGATAGTAAAAATTCATTAAATTATAAAAATACTGTATAGATGTAACGAGAACTACCTACTCAAGGGGACCTACTCCCTCTGGAGGATGGCGGATCTGAGTGAGGTGCTGGATTGTGGCTAAGAGAGGGGGCTAGCAGGCCTATGATTACTCCTAATGAGTAATTGAATCTTGATTCATCATATGCCCTTTCCAAATTATAATCTAAATTAACTCATAGTACTCCTTTTTTGCATACGAGGTAAGTTTGTTGCTTATCAGTCAAATCTATATAATCCAGAAGTACTCGCTGTAACATGTAGAAATTTTCTTTTCAGCCTTCTCTAAACCTTAGAAGTCTATGCTTCAATCATTTTCATTGAACACATCTCTTGCATCTAAATTATGTTTGCAGCCACAGGTCTTGTACCGGCCATTATCCTTCTAGGGAGCGGATGGCTTGTTGCTGCCATTGGTTCTTCATCGACTTGCCAGGCCCAAGTTGCAGCAGCTACACTGACTCCGCGGCAGCTTGGCGCAAGCAACAACACGTCCACGAGAGGAGCAGGAAGTTTTTGTGAAAGCAAAATTACAATTCAATCTGACGGCAAAACCCCA